TGTTAGGTCTATAAGTAAGCTGACATGCTGACAGCCCCAAGAGACTATGCTTTCCATTCAATCAAGAAGTTGCTTCAAATGCAGAAAGAAAGCAGCAGTGTTCTAAGAAGCATAAATGACCTAGGAACCCTTTCCTACTTATGTTACTTCCTGTGGTAAGCAACCACTTAGGCTGAAAATGATGACATAGAAAGAAAGACTAGACTAACCTATAGTTCCTTTTCCTCCCCTTACTCATCAGAAAGCCAAGTTTGGTAGAAAGTATGTATATAAAGTATGCATATAAAGAAGTGAAATCAAAACAGTTGAGTTTGTTTTGTTAGCATTTCCACTGTTCTAGTAAGAATAAACTACATGTGCATGTATAAGCTACAAAAAGTGAATTGTGTAATTTATATGATTCCATATGCAAGTTAAGTGCTGTTATATCTCCGTTTAAAAGTGGCATTGCACGATATAAAGATTAACATTAAAATTCATGCTGATAATTTAAAATCTTAATTTTCTTGTAATGACATTAAATAGGAAATAAAAACACCATGTAAAGTCGAGAGAGAGAGAGAGAGAGAGAGAGAGAGAGAGAGAGAGAGAGAGACCATGAAAGAAAGATAAAAAACTCTCTTTTGAGACCTTTAATGACAATTCACCCCTGCTTTTCATTTTTTTTAGCTGAGCCATCCTGCCACCTGTTGGCAGCTCAGCGGCAGCTCAGCTCGGGCCAGGACTCGAACCGCTTTTGTTCAGAGCTCACACTCTTGAGCGAGCTCTTAACCCACTGAGCCACTCGGCCGGCCCACACCCCTGCTTTTTGAACAAGGAACCCCACCGTTTCATTATGCACTAGACCCCACAAATTATGTAGCTAGCACTGGTCCCAAGACTTCAAGATATGCCCACAAGCACTGATAAAACTGGTTCCTATCCCAGTGTGACTTCTCTAGGCCTTGTCACACTCCTGTCCTGGGCTTCATTTGGAACCAGTGGATATTATCTGCCTCTTTGGTAAAATAAACAAAAAAAATCTCCCAAACATAGCTTGAAATGCATGGGAAAATGGAGGTACAGTGATGACGTGGTAGGAGCGTATCCAAAGTCACAGGGTATGTCAGGGGTAGAGGCATAAGCTGACTGTCATCTAGCCCTTGGCTACAATGCCATGGCCTGTCTGCACCCATCTCCACTACTGGCATTTGTCTCAAACATCATTTTAAAATATGAACAAAGTCATTATGCGTTGTAACCTTTTGATCACACCCCAGCTGAGGCCACCGCAGCCCCACAGGAACAGATGTAGAGCCAAAGGCTCTGCCCTTGAAGAGGTTCTGCACAAAACATCCCAAAGCCCCAGGGGAGTCCTGTGTCTTGTTTAAGGTCAACAGGAGTTGACAGGCCAATACACGGCTTCCTTCATGAGAATCAGATTCCTACATCTCCCCAGGCAAGTCAGAATATGTTTTCTAGTCATTGTATCAAAATCGTTAGAAATTCTAAAGGAACAGGGTGCTTCCTATCTCTTTCCTTGAATTTCTAGAGAATAAGACCTGTAAAACCAAGTCTAGGCATTTTGTGCCACTGGCCAGATCCCTGCTAATCAGAAGAAACCCCAAGCCCGAACAGACCACAACCATGGGCACTTTGCAAATTGCCTGCATACTCTTCATGTGATCCCTTCAAGTCATCCATATGGATTTTTAGACTAACATCTCTTAGCACATTCCAACTGCCCCTTTGCTATGTTCTTGGAGCCTTCCATGCAGAGTATGAGGGTCTACTGAACTCAGGTTTCCTCCAGGAGCCTTTTGTTTAGTGCTGAGATGCCCTTAGCAACGCAGCCTATTCCTTCAGCTACTTCTGGGCTAATTCAAATTCCTTCTAACCCCCAAACCTCCCCTTCTATGCACAGCTGTGTAGAAGGAGGACAGAGCCTTGAGAGCACATCTTCAGATCGCTCCTGCCTGGAGCCTGCTGGGCTGCTCAGCTGGCACTGCAGCCCCGATGGAAGGGTCAGTTGCCTTTTTGACAGAACGAACTTGCAGTTGTTGTCTCCTTCCTTTTGGCAAGCACAAGAGGGAAAGGATATCTTATGGGCCACACTGCACTGTTCTGGCTCTAACAAAATAACAGCGATCATCTTTCCTTCCCTTTCCATCAAATGATAATTGTAAACACATCTAAAAATTTTATGTTGCCATTTAAGATAATCATCACAAAAACATTTTAATGAAATGTAAAATGCTTCTGACATATTGGTAAGTAGAAATAAAAGCAGGATGCTGGAGGGTCTTTGCTTTGTAAACAGTTTACATTTATGTATAGAAAAAAATATAGGAAGGAAATAGACCACAATTGATTTCTTTAGGTGGTAGGGTCAAAAATAGGTTCCTGTTTTCTTCTATAAACTTTTTGGTAGTTTCTAAAAGAAAATACATTATTTAGGTATGTATTACTTTTACAATCCAACAAGAAAGAATACTTTTCTATTTGCTAGGATTTCTGAAATAGTACTAACCGATTTTATGCATTGTCTAAAAGGAAACCAACACTGGGCTTTTACTTCTCCAGGTGACTTCTATGCGGATCCTTTCTCTCAGTTGAATTTTTTTGTACAGGATACAGATTTGGCTTTGACAAGACTGTCTACCTTGTAATTTCTCTTGTTTCTTTTTTTTAATGTGAAACTTGACAATATTCGAAAATAGGCTTACAGAGCCTTGAATCAAGGTACTTTATTTCTTTCTGCTGGTTACCAGGGCTGGGAGCTCCCAACAGAATTTTCCAAGTGTAAGGGCTCTGGAGCCTACCTAAGACAACTCCAGGGAGACAGAAGTCTAGAGGATGCTGACTTTGTGCATGAAGATGTGATGAAAAGAACATTGATTTTGGAGTTGAATGGCTCTCGAACCTCGGGGGGTTTTTTCTCTGCAAAACTGATGATTATATTCCTTTTATCGAGCAGTTTTAAAGAGTAAAAAAATACAATGTATGTAGAGGACCTAGCACAGTGCACAACAGTAAATTATTAATACTAGTGGTGAGCACTGGAGAAGGTAGTAGGGGGGAAATCTGCTATTGCTACTCTCCACTCTCTCAGCACTGAAGTTTTCCAAAGTGTGTGTGTGTGTGTGTGTGTGTGTGTGTGTGTGTGTGTGTGT